CCGAGATATGTTCAATTGTTTGAATCTTGGCCTTTCTTATGAATAACTACATTTGTATGTAATAATTTTAACAATCAATTATCTTCATAAATGTCATAAAATATATTTTGAGCATTTACCAATTACATGTACATATTTAGTAAGTACTACCCAACACGATTATCCCCCAAATGAAAAACACGTTTCCTTCTAGAAGATCTTAAACTATGTCTTTGGCTTTGCAGTCTATGTTAACGATAAGAGAGCAGAAAATAGGAATCAAAATAAGTTTAAAGATTCTACGTGCTTTGCATACGCTATAATATGTAGGGAAGTGATATTTTTTTTTTGACATTGCGTATCAACGCGTTATACGAGTATGAATTATGCATTACAAGCAATGCTTAAAATAATATGGGTATTCTGGAAGTCTTGCACGGTATAAACCGCTTTTCCTATCGGAAATCTTTAGCAACTGTCCAAGACTTCCAGAATACCCCTAATGTAGTATGACCTTCTATAGTGATGCCCTCCAGAACACATGTCCGTTAGAAACAATTTCAGATTTTATGCCGGGTAATTAAGTGAAGTAGTGTTTGGCCTACGCTTTCCTCGCATTAGTGATGTTCGTCTTGGAGTTTTCGCACAAATGTACAGAGAATTTTTTTAGCAGATAATTATACTCGGATGTTAATCGTCGTTAAAGATATTTTACACTTTATGAAAAAAAAATAGTTATTGTAAATTGGGTACTATAAAGATGACAAGAAAAAGTCGATTTAGTTACTCAGCGAAAAATTGTCAAAACATACATTGGCGATCAAAACGGAGTGCATGGTGTTTTTTTTTTAAGGCATATTCACAATGTTTTCCAAGTTAAAGTTTTTTTTTTAATATTGTTCTTGCTCAAACCAAAACCATATAAATCAAACATTATACAAAATTTATTAAAATTTTGAACTTTGTAATCTGAATTTTTAGAAAAGTTTCTGATATGCAGCTATGTATTTAGATATACATATAGCTCATGAAATTCGAGCAAAATAAGTTATGTTTGAAGCGGCTAAAAATCGTATTGCTTAATCTTTTTTTTTTTTTGCTGACGGATTTATGCACTATTTGTGGTATAAACATGAATTTCTGGTGGAAAAAATGACCAGGACCGTTCGCATAAAAATTAAAAAAAAATTGCATGAACAATATTTAAAAAAATTTAAAAACAATTTTAACTTGGTATCAGGTAGGGAACGAGTAATAAGAAAAAAGATATATATATGAAATGTAGATATTAACTTCGCTAGTGACAGTAATACTCACAACCGATCGACTCATACCCTTGGGTATCTGAGTCGGTAATGCACATAGCTGAACACAAATTATGGACTCATAAATATTTCTAGATTTACAATTTGATCAGAGGTGAGTTTTTTAGGTTATCGTCTGCGAAGTACTCAGCAGTCAGGTCCTTACCAATAATATGTGCATTATGGTGCCTCACCAAAAAAAGTTGCGGTGTTCCCACTGGAATTATAAAATTTATTATATATTTTTAGACTTGCGGAAAAATATTAGGTATGTGAGCGTATTATTTTGATTCTGTTGATACAATTTTCAGACATTTTTATGTAGACTATTTAAGCTTAAAATCTTCTATCATTTAAGGTGATTTTTCGGAAAAATTGACTTTAGTTATTAAAAAACTCGATTTTTGGAAGTATTTCTAAATCGGTCCAGCCTTACGTAACTTAATGTTTTTCCGATATTCATTTATTGCCGGAAGTTTTAAAACATTTTATAATTCCGATGGAGTACCGATTTTTGTTTTTTGTATGGAGCGTGATGCACCCTAATGTATATACATATGTACATATCGTCACCTGAAATGCAAAAACGTGTAACCCACTTTGTCACCTGAATTACAAAAGGCCGTAACTAAAAAAAATCAAAATTCAATTTTCTTAATGAAGATGCATTTCATCGAATTAGAAGTCCCCACATCGTTTTATGCAACAACAAATTTGTTAGTTATGGCTTTTTGCAGTTCAGGTGACGATGTTAGTTGCCCCTTTGGAATTTCAGGTGACGATTTGTATGTTCTATCACCAACTCATTTACTAATTGTTGTAGTGCCAGTCTCAAAAGTGTTTTCAATTTCTGCTGAAGTGATCCTTGACCAGCGTAAAATCTGGCTATATCCGGCTACGTCCTGGGAACGCTTATTTACTAGCCATTAACTGTTGCTACTGGAAAGTGTTCGAAGTGCATATCACCAAATCATTGCAGAAGGCCCTAAGTAAAATATCGCTACCTAAAGGGGAAAGGTGACAAGTCCACCTTTTTTTCAAAATTTGGTTTTTGATGCAGAATGACAGATAATGCGCAACTACATCGATTTTTCGTCTCTTCTGAACAATTTCAAAAAAATGGACTTGGCACACTTTCACCTTTAATATGCTTACTCTCAGAAACACCACTGCACTGAAATTCAGAGCAATATCTTAAAGAATATGGGGCGTATTCATAGTTAAAGTTAAGTTGATAGGCTGACTTCCAAAACGTCAATTGCATACGTACTAAGTTTAATGTTCCATAACGCCGAACTACAAATGGTTGACAATGTATTCTCATGCAAAACGCATTCGAAAAGTTATCGAAACGTATCGCTGTAGCAATCAGCGCATCACTAACAAAGTTGAAGCTTCGTTTGTTTTTGGTTGCTATTGGTGTTGTGAAAATAGGTTTGTTCCACACGAACCCGCGGGATCCCGCCGGTGCCCAAAGCAGCCCAGAAAGCGTTCCTCACGCTAGAAAACTGGGTAATAGAGAGCGAATACCTTCCACTTTTGGAACATAAATGTCTTCTTCTTCGTATCCGAAACAGCCCGAACTTTTTTCCGGGCAGAAATGTGCAAAAAGTTCATCATTGTTTAGAGCTGATTTGTTGATTCCGGACACGAAATGTGGTTTTTGCGTTCCTCACGCACTGGGCACTTTTGGCATGTGTTGACACATTTTTGGGACTTATGAGAGAATAACTTATTACGCTCTAAATACCGAAACAGCCGGGAAAGCGTGTGGAACAAACCTAATGGAAAATTCCAAAAGGATGTTCAATGTTATATTAAATATTCAAAAATGCAATCCCTGTAGGGAACTCAACTAACTATAAATGCACTATAAGTTCACTATTTTTCCACTAGGGGTGACTATGCCTACTTTACGTTGCTTTCAGCGGACTACTTCCGCATGATGTCGCAAAATAGTCAGTTTGTTTTCAGCTAGGTTAGGTTAAGTTCAACTGAAGTGGCCCAATTAATAAAATTTTTTTGGTACTCTCGGTTGATATACTTATTTTAGGTTAACTATTACCTGCATGTATTAAGACCTCTAAAGTTGTGCTATTAACATGCATACATACATACCCTATCGATTGAGCCCTGCATGACTTTGAATAACATAATAAGTTGGTCAAAAGCTGGCTATTTGGTAGTCGACTACGAAATTCCCCACAGGGATGTTTATGGTTGCAATGTTTCACAACTCTGCATATGGTCGGTGATACTGCAACACGGTCTATGTCTATTAGTACCCTTGACACTTAGATGGTCTTTTACTGGCGTCCTTAAATTGGCGATTCAAACCACTGTCAAAAATCCTCATGCCCGTACAATTTGTATGAAGCATCCCGCAATAACGCGGCGCTAGCGCCGAGGAAATGGAATTTTCATTTTTGACAGGGCGTTACTGGTTGAAGTTGGGTGCAGAAGACGGAAAGAAAGAGAAAGGACAAACAATTGAAAAAATAAACGAGAATAAAAACGAGAGGAAATGAGAAAGCGTCAAAATTGCGCCGCGTTGTTATGGGGATAGCGCGCGGTGACACTCCTTGACAATCGCAAACGCAACGCTTAGCGCTCCAATTTAGGGACACCAGTTATGTGCACCAGAATACATCTGTAAATCGTTACACCCTAATAAACGAATGACAAAACTGTCTACCTTTGGCTGATGAAGATGAACGGTTGCCAGAAGCGATCAGATACAGATAACAGATCAATTAATCACCAGAGGTAATAAGTGACTTAGAACGTTTTGCAGTATCACCGACGATATACAAACAGTTTAAATACCGCGGTAAAACAGTATCCAAACATTTAGGTCGTTCACACTTGCCACATAACCAGGCAAGCGTAAACAACCTCATTGTATTGGTATGTTTTGGAAGTCAGCCATACTTACGGTGACCATAAATATGGATACAATATGAAGGAAAATTTTCGAAAAATATGCCTACATATATTTACGTAGAATAAAAATACCAAAAGAGTATTTATGATTCTAAATTCTTAACACATTTTAAACTTTAAAAATGAATCACGTTTTCTTAGTCGATATTAATCTTTTTTTATATGAATATTTATAAAAGTATAGTAAAGTATATTATAATTACAATAGCTTACACGAAAAGTGAAAATCTTTAAACGATCATTTTATAGGCAAATTTCGAGTCGTTCAAAACGAAAACAATACCTTTTTTTTGTTTTTTGGTACTTTTCGCAGTTATTTGTCAAAAATCGACGTCATGAATCGACGTAAAAACGACGAGTTACAAAGTCCCCTTTACAAAAATATATAATTTGTGCAGATTGCGCTCCATAACATCTACATTTCTAATTCGATTATATTTGGCTCAAAATTTACTGTAATGATATATCTTCTTTATCGATTTTTTAAAATAATGAAAAAATAATAATCAAATGAAACTGCGTGCGTATTTGGTTGAAAATCTCACTTTTTTCGACTTTGACGACAAAATGCAAATGGGTCGCCTGTAGCACTAATAATTTTCATTGAAGTCGCCACAAGTTATATATTTTGGTAAGAGGCACATCAATACCCTTCGAGCTGTTAGTCGCTTACGCTGATTGGGAGATTTTTTCATGAGATATTGAAGAAAAAGTACGAAAAGTACCAAAAAACACTTTTTTGAAAAAATTCATCCATTGTCCGATAATTTTAAAATAACGAATAAAATGCGGGCCAAATGCAGGACACTTGGAAAAAATCAGTACATTTTCAGGTTTTCAGGTTTGAAAAAGTACGCAGGATCGACCTTTGAAAAACGGATGGTCACCGTAGCCATACTTAGGGTTAGTTGCAGCTTTTTGGCATATTTTTTTAAAGGGTGGACTGGCAAGGCTTCCACTAATTAAATATCAACTTAATTTAATTTCAATTTTAAAATTGTTTACGAAATTACCACTTTAGGCCCTTTGTAATGATAAGGACGATAGAGAGGTCAATATTTTGTATATACATCGAGGCTATGCAATTATAACTGCTTAAATGTACATATTAATATTTGGCATCACAAAGTACATATTTTGCATCTCTCTAAGCATCAATTATAAATTTGTTTCGCTAATACGATGTATGTATGTATATACTACTGCTTATAAACTATTTTGTCATATATTCTACCGCACTTGTACTAATAAAAACGTTGTAAATTTGAAATACTAAATAATTTGTCTTTTCTATATGTGACTCTTCTTATCTCTTGTGCACCTGTACATGTGTACATTGAGATACATACATTACATACGTAAAAACATATGTATGCGTGTACATATACAATTATAATATTTTATATAGCACTCTTGATGGTCATGCCCGGATTTCGTATACAGATGAATGGTATGCCAAATTCGAAATCATTTTTAGGCCAATATTTTAGCAGCGGTTGTCGTTGTGGCAGCTCGGTTTCGACGTAGAAGTACGCATATAGAACCAAAACGGTATAAGCGGCGATAAATATGAAAACATGCCAGAAACCATGCAGATACGGAAAATTAATTGCTGACCATGCATCGCAGAACATACGATCGTTGATCCAACAGAAGACGGCCACAAGCCAAACGGCCGTACAACGCAAGCCCAATCGATAAACGCGCTGATCTCGCACTCTGAAATGAAAATCAATACGTCGTATGTAGTATCTATATATGTATGTATGTATGTATGTAAGCGTAGTAAAATGACTTAAGAAAATTTACATTGTTGCACATTTCTCTTATATACATTACCTAATTATTGAGATAATGAAATTGTAACAGTTAGCAATAAACAGCTAATTATCATATAAAGCGGCGAACTCATTACATTACGTACTTATTTGCATATTTAGTACATATGTACGTGCCAAGTTCATTTTTTTTCAAAATTTAGTTTTTGATGCAGAATGCCAGGTAATACGAAACCACATAGATTTTTCGTCTCTCCTAAACAATTTAATTAAATGGACTTGGAACCTTTTCACCCTTAGGTGACGATATATAGGTAACAGAGTGACGGAGTGTATACTCCGGTGTTTGATTTTAGACCAATGTTGACCACAGAAAGCTCTTTTTGCGCCAGCCGTTAAAGTCCGTTGTACCAAAATTTTTCAAAGGATTGACAAAGCGTGGCTATGAAGTGGTCATCTATATTTTAGACTAATAAATTGGAAAACTCCATAGAAAATTTCACACTTTACCAGAAATATTTACTTTCGTTGAAACCTTGCCGTTGACGAAATGTAACAGTCTCCTTCGTCACCAATTGTAAGCCAATTCCAGTCCGGAAGCTATTCTTCTCCGACCACCCCAATAGCTCAGACCCAAGATCTTAATTCAGAGTTTTTTTTTGTCGCAACTAAATTCACAAAGCAAGGCGTGCTACATGCAGCCTATTGCACTGTTTTCATGTCCCTTTAATCTTTACGCATAGTTAATCGAGGCAAAACTGTTGGGTGTAAAAGAGGCTCAGTTGCTCGCCTTTCAAACATTGCTACCAAAAAAAAACACAATACGTAATCCTTGCAAAGACGGGACAGAAATGAAAGAAAATACCTAGCATGAGGTTTGTTGAGCGAAGTATTCCAAAAAAAAAATTATTCCCCCGGCCAAAAAAAAAAAAAAAAACAAGTAAGAAAGTCTATGTTCGGGCGGAGCCGAACATTAAATACCCGGCGCAAGTATTAAATATGTGCTTTTCACCTTTCCGAAAACTACCGCTACATGGTAAGTAGGGGTGGTTTTATCCCTAGTTCAAACATCTTCGATAGAACGTTCAGTTAGACATAACGAGATAAACTTATACAGTCATATGTGGGCGATATCACGCCCATTTTCCAAAATTCAAAATAATGTTACTTCTTTTCAAGGGATTGTTGTTAGTATCAATGTTGTTTAAGTTAGCATCCTTAAATTTCGGAAATAACGAAGTTTAAAGCATTTCTGAAATTTACCGTTATATGAAAAATGGCTGTAATTTTAGTCCAATTTCAATAATTTTTCACGTTTTTCTTTTATGCGGCAAACACAATAACCATACCGAATACCGAGTTTGGTACAAATTGGTAGAACGGTTACCGGGATACATATATATCATAATAAGTGGGTGGTGCCACGCCCGTTTTCCAAAATTTTATCATAAACGAATTATTGCAAGCATCAATTTTGAATAAATTAGCTTAAGTATTTACTGATTTATCGAAGATTTCGTATTTCTCTAAATTACCATTATATGGGATGTGGGCGTGGGTATTGCCCGATTTTAAAAATTTTCAGCCATTTGGTATGTTGTACCAAGGGCAATAACTGTGCCAAGTTCGAGAGAAATTGGTGGATCGGTAACCAAGATATACACATGTAATCCAAAAATTTATAATATTCTTATTTTTCGTTAAAAATTATTGTAAATATCAAATTTGAGTGAATAATCTTCAGTCAGTTACTAAAATATCGCAGTTTTTGTATTTCTGAAAACTACCGTTATATGGGAGGTAGGAGTGGTTATTGTTCGATTACGCCCATTTTCTGTCCTACGCCCGAAAGAATTACACGTACCAAGTTTCGTTAAGATATCTAAATTTTTGCTCGAGTTATCGTATACACAGACGGACGGACGGACAGACAGTCACCGCTTAATTTGTTTATATCTATCTCGATTCGTTTTGCCTGTTACAAACAACCGTTATTGGAACAAAGTTATAATACCCTTGTGCACAAGTACGCTCGGGTATAAAAATACAAATTGCTTGTAAGGTGGTACGGTCTAATGTATGTACATATTTACCTTATTAAAAGCGCTTTCGATTTGTTTGTCAATATGTCTGTACTTACAATGTATATGTAGAAGAAAAGTTTGCACCGATTTCCTTACTGATTGAATTGAGGAGTAGCAATAAATTAAATTAGGGTCAATTAATTGCATTCAATATTGGCAATGATCGTTTGTGAGGTCGCGCGACGCTTCAGTTTCTTTCGGCATACATATGTATGTACATAGGTATATTTATGTATGTAGGTAAGTAGTTAATTTAATACTGTAGAAGTGCGAACAATATAAATCGAATGAAAATGATATGCAATTTGTCCATACATATATATATATATATATGTATGTATGTATGCAATACTTATTAAGAAGGGAACTGTGAATTCTTTAGAAATTTAATTGTGATTTCATTTGAAAAAAAACTTTTATTTTTATTATTTTTTCACAATTACTGAGATTTTGTAAGTTGATTTCTTAAATATCTCTAAATCTAATAAGTGGTCTTGTTTTTAACTTGATATTTAGCGCTATAAAGAAAACTATGTACGGATGTATGATGATACATGCATAAATAAACATATCTGCAATTAAAAATTTTACAGAATTTTGAAATCAAAAACTTATTTGTTTTTGTTATTTATGGCCTTATAACATAATATTCAACAATTTTATTGAGCTTGAGGCTATTTTCAAAAAGAAAATTTTGGAACCAAAAAACAATTTACAATTTGGTAGCCAGTAGTCTTACCCACTGAGCTAAGTTCGCCACGTAAACTGTTGTTTCTTTTTCCATTTTTTTCATGTGTTAAGCCAACTGCAATCAAGCGCAACTATTTCGATGCTATTTACACTTGACTATGTGGTTGATGGTTTTGTTGGTTTTTTGTTAATATGTAATTCTATTTTTAGAATGTTTAACTTTAAGGTGTGCTCGTCCTTAAGTTATTTGTTTTTGTTATTTATGGCCCTATAACAATTATATTCAACAGTTTTATTGAGCTTGAGACCGTTTTTAATGAAAATTTTTGCGAAAAAAACAACAATTTAAAAACTTATACATATTAATTTTTGGCTACATTTTTTGTGTAACACCTCACGCTAATCATTCAACTGAAACTTTCAGAAGGTGAATTTTTTAAATTATAATTTTTTTTTTTGCAAATTTGAAATAAAAAAATGTTAAACAATTTTTATTTTATGTGAATTAATTTTTAATTTAGAGTTCGCAACAATATTTTTTAAGTTCAAAAAGGTGTATCTTAAAAAAAAACTCTTTCACAATTTCAAGATCTTCTAAGATCAGTTAGAGGCATTTTATAAAAAATATACAGGTTTTTATTTTTATGATTTCATAAATTTCAAAGTTCTTTAACTTTATTATTTTTTGACTTTTTTAATATATTTTGTATACATATAGCGCCAAATATCACATTTAGATTTACACCAGAAACATTTTAGAAACTCATTGAGATATTCAAAAAATAAACTTGCAAAATCTGGGAAATTGTGAAATTTTGAACTTTCGAAAAGAAAATTTGTTTTCCTTTGGCAGAACTTCGTTACAGGATAAAAGAGCTGTTCTGGCCAAAATTCAAAGAAATAAATTTTTCAATTTCGATTTTTACCAATTTGACATGGATTGACACATTTTTTCCAATTTTGAACTAGTATGCTTATGTGTATGGGACGTTGTTTAAAATTTTTAGGGTTGATTGACAAACATAAATAATAAATAAATATGAAATTTGAGCTCGATTAATACATTTTTAAAAACTTTACAGCACAAAAACAAAAACAGATCGATAGCGATTAAACACTGAACTGTTTAAACTCTAAACCCAACATATGAGCTCTCTTTTTTTAAAATTGGAAGGTTTGTATTTGAAACTAAATTTAGTTTGGTCATATATGTAGTCCAAAAATAAAACCGAAATCTTTAACCGTTTTCTTAAACCCCAAATACAGGATAATAGCAAGATTCACGGATTCGTTAGGGCTGTTTTTTATTCTGTTCCCCTAAAATAAAATTCCTTACTAACAGTCCCATATTTATTTTTTTCCAACTTTTTTTAATCATTTATTCAGGTGTTTTTTCGTAGAAATTCACCAAGCTGCCTGCTTTTATTGGCTGTCAAACACAAACTAAATTACGCAGCTTGCTTACCATTTGAGTCGGTACATATGAACTGACCGAACAAATAAATAGTTTAAACAGCAATGTGACTAATATCGATAAGAGTAAAAAAGACGACTAATATTAATTCTTTTTGGTTGTTTGTATTTCCGACAGGATAGCAGTATGATGTATTGTGGAACGATTTTCCCGGTTTCCCTTGTCAAATTTGGTTTTTGGCGTTGTGCCATCTTCAGTCATATTTCGTTCTAATATTAACTAATTATTGAAAGTTGGATAAGTCCTGCCGTATGTATAAATCAAAATAGCTTAAGCCCCTTCCAGCCAATTATTTTGTGCTCTGCTACTGCAGATTGTGATATATGAGTCGATATCTACGTATCAAACCTGCCATAAGAAATTTTGGAAAATTTTGTTTGAAAAGTAACTTATTCCATATGGTATTTTGTAAACGTGGTTAAGTCAAACGTAAAGACTTTTTTATTTTAAATATGGCTTCAATTTCAATGTGTTTTTCTGCGCAAAATTCTTCCAACATTTATTTTGTAAAATTTTATAGTTTTGCAAAAGTGACTTCAAACACAGCAAAAAAAGAAAGAAGCACAATTTCCCAAAAATTTCTTATAGTTGACTTAGGTAGGTGAGATGGATCTACTTGTTTGACAGTACTGTATTAACAGACATTAATTGACAGCAGCAGTGCTGTATTTAAATTTCATCACCATTCATAGA